AAGGTGATACCCTTCTATGTTCACATTCCAGACTTGCCTTTCATCCCACCAAGTTTCTGTGATTCCCACCAGGTCATACCCTCCTATTCCCAGGAGAGCTTCAAGCTCTTCCTGCTTATTACCCATGCTCCTAGCATTGGTGTACATGCACCTCAACTCCTTCCCACCGCTTGGAGTTCCCAGCCTCCTCTTTCCTCCCAGATACCTGGCCCCTCTCTGTAGGAGTCCTGTCAGTCCCTGCAGTACCTCTAAAACCCTGCTCCCAGAGCCCTGATCCTCCCCCCACACTTGTCCAGTTCAGACACGTTACTGACCCCCCCCCGGCTCATTTTAAAGTCTTCCGGACAAAGCTCGCTAGAGCATCTCCCAAAGGATCTTTTCCCCATCCTCGTGAGGTGTAACCCGTCATCCTCTTGAGGTGTAACATGACCGCTTTTGTCTGTTTGATGGAGGGCAGCTTGTTTTCGGAGAGGAACAAAGCCACCTCCCTCTCTGCATCAGTTTCAGGGAGACAGACAATGAGAACACGGAGAGATAGAAATTAGTTTGCATCATTGCACATTGATACACAAAATGCAAAATGCACAGACCACAAAACAGATCAAATTGCCAAATTAGAAATGATTCCAAGCTAAGTTGCAGAGCACCATATTTCTCCTGTGCGAGTCTTGACCAAACCAGTGACTGCTGCACTTGTTTTGATGTGCCGTCGCCACAGAGCCATCTACCAGTTTGTAAGGGGCTTCTCTCAAAACGAACCTCACGTAGGAATGGCCAGACCAGTCCGCTTCCAGTCCTTGTCACTTCTGCATGCATTCAGTCACAACTCCGTTCCACCCAAGTTCCGCGTCACAACTTTGCATTGACTTTTTGTATCAACAGGCAGGAAGAACAGGCCTTTAGATTCGACTTTCCCTACAGAATCCTTGAGCAGAAGGCTGCATTGCAAAATTTAGGGGTTTGTGCTATCTGCATCCCTACCATCTGATCTGCATATTTATGCAAATTTAATCAGTCTGTTTAAAAATACCTATCAAATGAAGCTCTCCAGTATTTCCACTCTAGAACAATGCTCACACATGTCTAGTCTGCGGTCAGAAATCTATACCTGGTGCCATATTCCTGCAATAAAATTTGTTACCTAATTTACTGAAACTGGGAGTCGCCCATGCAAATTTCCTGGAAGACTTGATCTGAACCAAATAAAACTGATAGGGTTGTATCCATTCAGCAGGGCCAAAAGCTACCTGGAGCCATGCAAGTATTACCCAATTACCAAGTTATTGTGTGCCAAAGAGAAAGCTGGTATCTCTATACAAGGAAGCTTTTATTAACTCCTGCCAGGAATTTATTTCGGCCTGCTGTTTGTGACTCCCTGGGGATGTTACCTTAATCAGCATTTTGTAGATTCACCATGAGCTCATTTAACAGGCCCCTGAATTAAGATTTATGCATTTATGGTAAGTTCTCCTCAGTTGACTGGGTTTGGTTTCATTTTTCACTCAGCGACCAGCCTAGTTGGATAGAGGTCTTTCTCAACAAACATTGTTTTCTTTGTTCTGAAATTATATGTAACCTACCAAGGAAAACAATTCAAAAATATTTACGGCCTCTGTAACCAATTTGGCTGAAAGAACAGCAGTTTGAACAGACATGAGTCCCAGCTGAATTATCAACGACTTCTTCACTATCTTACCAGAAATCACACTAAGTCTTCACTGAGATCGAATTGCAACTCCAACCGGAGGATGCTACATACCAGACATACCTGTATCAACTGTTAAAGGTCGATTGTTTCTATACTAGAACCCACCTCAAAAACAAACTTACATAACATTGCTGTATACAAGTGCATTGTTGCAGAATAGAGGCACTGCCTCTGCCGATTCCCATCCAACAGTCCCATCGAGTGGTGTGTGTTATCTGAAGGTTGAACAAGCCTTACATAAGCCATGATCTCTTCTAGGGTTGTGCAGAGATTGTTTAACCCTCAAATAATCCCCCCTCCTGCTGGGTTTGCGTGACACAACAACCCACAGCAGCACCCAACAGTGGTTGACTTATTTTTAAATGGTGCTGGCACACATCAGAGCTCTTCTCTGGGAAAGTAACCCACAATGGTGTCATGTCCCGTGAACTGGCCCAATGTCTCTGAGCCCGACATGTGGCCAGCAGCCACAGGAGAACTGAATGGAGATCCTGGCGTTGCTTCAAAGGGATTCAACTTGCTCCTAATTTGTATATTTAAAAAGAAAATTGTTCAGAGTAGGACACCTTGAGGAGTACAAAGGAAGATACTGGGGGTGCATTGATACCCTGAGATCATGAATCACACCTCCCAACTTGCACAAACATCTGAATCCGATTCCTGACGGCCATGTGTACGTAATCTTACCTCACCTTCTACACGAGTGTTAATATCCAGAAGCAAAGATTCCAGAAACTCTACAGCTCTCTCTGCTTTCACCCACGTGTTCTCCACAGCTGCTTTTTTAGAACTGGCAGTATGCAATGATTACCAACAAACAGATTTCCGGGAACCTAGTACAAACAGCCACCCGCAAAGGATTACAAGGAATTGTACTCATGAGCAATAGCTGAACACTTTAAGCCTCCGATGGCCTTTTGAGGGAACTGAAAGAGATGCAGCGGCAGTGCCTGCCAGTTGTTTTGGACTACAACTCCCAGCATCCTTGACTATTGGCCAGGCTGCTGTGAGGTGGACTCCAAAGCATCTGGAGAGGGACACTGTCCCTAACCCCAAAATCCAGAAATGAATTGGTGCCCTCCAAAATATTCTGTCCTTGATGGCCCTTGTCAACTCAACTTATCACAGTGCTTAGAAAACGGACCTGCTATATTCCGAGAGAGCCACTTAGGATGGGATCTTCCGGTGCTT